CCCCAATCTTATAAACAGTACATTTGCACAATGACTGAAACTAGCACCACTGAATGAACAATGGGCTGTGAAGTCAGTTCCTTGATCAATATGCAAAATCTCATGACCAATGATCAACAACCACTGATCAGCTGAGACTGAAGAAGTCACTTGGATGAGTGAGGAAATGTTTATTCCACTGAAAATGCTACTTCCAGATAAACAGAATCAACCTTTTGGGTTGGTTACATTTGCATTATCTATCTATCTTCGATAGGGATATATAGAGAGAGACAATTAGATAGACATAGATATACATATATATCATATTTTGACCAACACTGACAGAGGATCTATTTACATTTCAAAACCTATAATTCTAAGCATTTTGTTACATTGCTTTTACATGTTGGTACAAACATATGGCTTCTTCATACCTCAATGTTTGTAAATGAGGTCGTGTGCAGCTGCGGACCATAAGCAGACTGGTTAAGTTTGACATGGGAGACCTTTATGTGATCTCCCACGTGAAAGTGCTGCATTGCTGCCTCTCTCCACAGAGACACTGTCATGGTATAACAATCCTGAAATCACAAACATGACAGAATAAAATATGTTTTCATTAATTAATACGAAAAGCCACTAACACCAAAACCAAGCCTACAAGCTAATACAATCTGCTCATCTACCACCAATCTCAAATATGCCAAATTATTTTCACCACTTTCAGTTGTTTCCGTGAGACAACCTTCCTCACTGCCACACACTGAAAATTCAATTAAAATACAATGTCAGGAATAGTGATTGTATAGATCTGTGATGGTTGTTTCTTTCTTGACTAATCTCAAACACTTACCTCCATGACCTCTTTGTCCACTGACATAAGCCCCCCCACAGTTGAGCTCGTTCTCAGTGGCATTACAGGGGCAAGGGAATGCAGAAGGTCCTCCGCTTTTGCCATAAGCTCTTCAGGGACTGGAAGGACAGCTACCCTGAAAAACTGAGTCTTGGCAGTTATATTTATCACGTAAGGGGGATTTGTGCCTCTGAGCTCATGTCCCCCTCCAGGACTTTTGAGGAGAACTCCTCAAACAATGCTATTTTTATGACCATCTCCCCATCGGAGATGGCTGCCACCTTGTTGTTGTTTTTTTGTTTTTTTTTGTGATGAGTGGTTTAGCCACTCCATCCTGTAGGTCCCAGGTGATGACCCTGACCCTGTCCCGCATTTTTAAATCCCAGATGTGGATGGGTGGGGGCTGGAAGTAGGGTGTCTCCGGGAGGTTGTAAATCAAAGTCAAACAGTGACCACATGTCTTCTTGAACATCAGCAAAATAGATGGGCTCTTTTCTGTGTTCAAAGAATGTAACTGCAGATGAAAATTATGTAGATGAAGTAGAATCAACAGGAGAAGCAGGGCTGGGGCCCGTTCTTCGTACGTCGCTTACTACATCCAAGATCAAATGAC